AAAACTTGCTTCGTAAGGTTTGTACCATTTATGAGTTAACGTACTTCTTACTGGCTAGGGCTTATCATCGGAAGATGCACTAATACTTACCATTATCGGTTAATCAAATCGTTAATTGCGATTATTTGTTTTGATTTTTACTGGGCTTGTCCCTTGTTACGCCTTTGATCATTGGGCTTTCTTTTGTGACCCAGTACACTGGGCTGTTTGGCCCTCCATGTAATTGCTTTTATTCATATCAGTTGCTTAAATTTTCCAAATATACTTTCTGTGAATTTTTGTTCATTAGCCTTCTATGGTTGAACGGATGAGAATGAACCTTTTTTTTATTATTTTATTTTTTATTTTTATTTTTTATTTTTTATGCTTCGCAAATTTCTAAATTAACTTGTATGGTAGAACGAAGAGGTTTTTTTTCTAAAGAATCTAAATTGATTTAGTTTAACTTCCTTTAACATTTTTTTTAAAAAAAAAAAAAAAGAGAGAGCAAGTTACTTAAAATATAAAAAGAAAAATATTATTAACTACTGTAATTGATGCAGGATTAAAAACGAGTATTTTTACTCCCTAATCCCTGCTCTTACACAGAATACCACTATATTAAGTAAATGGATTTTTGTACTTTTTTTAATAAAAAAATTCAATCACGGTCTTAAAATGCTGGATCAAACAGGCCTGGTAAATCCTCTAGTGTCAACTAAAAATGAAAAAATAGCTAACCTTCTTGTACTATTATTATTATTATTATTATTATTTTTGCAGTAACCTTCTTGTATTATTATTATTATTATTATTTTGCAGTAACCTTCTTGTATTATTATTATTTTTTTTATTTTTTTGCAGTAACCATCTTGTTAGACGTTAGCAAAGGAGGATAATTCATAAACCTCACAAATAGAATTAAGGGCAAGAATAAGTGTGATATGATCATAGTCATCCAAATAATACGATGAACTCATTTCTTGACAAATGTATGGTCATAATTGAGAATGCGAAATATTCTATAAAAAAGTACAAATATTAAGAACACAGGAACATTGAAGGTGTTTAACTAAACTAGTGTTATTTTAATAATCTTAGGTATTTTTCCTACTTAGCAAGTTATGGAGTTGTAAGAAATTAGTCCCTTCCGCGATGCCATAATCATCCATGGGATATTTCAAAGCCTCTCTTGCTCCACTTCCATTAACACACTCCAAAATAGTTAGTGATTAGCCAATGAAGTGTGGAAAAGAATTAATTTTTCTTTATAAGTTTGAAGACAAACCGAAAAAAAAAAAATAATAAAAAAAATAAAAAAATAAAAAAATCTGCAAAATATTGCTCGAAAAGCTGAATAATTTAAGACAGTTCCATTATATACCAAGGATTAAAGAATTTCCAAATTTTCATTAAAATTCAATACCATCCCATTCCCATCCAATTTTGATCAAATAAGAATAACAACTACTACTGTTATAATGTATGTATATTTATAAATGTGTGGGGTCCTCAAATATGATCACATTTTGAAGCTTACTCGGGAAGACATCCTTGGTGGCGTGCAGAGGAAGCTAAAATTTGAGCCTATAAAAGGCTATGCCTATGTCCTACTCGTGAACACACTTGAATGGAAAAAAAAACAAAAAACAATTACTCTTTCATTCTCTCTCTCTCTCTCTTAAAGTTTTTCCATTTTCTCTCATTGATATTATTCTCTCTCTCTATATATATACATATATTTATTACGTATGAATAAAAATCATTACCATGAATTTCAATGAGGTCATAGATATTAGAGATTACCATCACAAGCAGTATATGAAGGAAGATGCTCCAAGATGCAAATCTAAGACTCATCTTCTTTTTCTTGAGACTCCTTTCAGATTCTGCTTTCCTCCCTCCAGATACAGAACAAGGTCTAATTAACCAATTTAGTGGGGACAAAGTATGTAGAAACTTTCAAAGCTCTAAAATTATTTTTTTGTTGCTGTTCTATATGTGTAAATTCCAGGGAGATTTTTGACAATCCAAGGAATAAAAAAATAAAATAAAAAATAAAATTTCTATTTTACCAAAAATAAATACTACATTTCAATGTAGACCTACTACTTCAAGAGGTCCCATTTAATCCTAACTTTTTCAGAAGGTTTCTTTTTTCTTTTATAATTGGGTACATATTATTATGTTACCTCATAATTCTTATTTTGTATTTCTTTGTTATGTTCATCTCATGCTTTCCAATTGGAAGCATGTCAATTGTCAAGTACTGTTACGTTTCCTCACTACCTACAAAAACAACTTCAATAGAGAACCACTTTTAATTAAAATTATCAGATAGAACTTTACTGTAGGTTTCTTCTAATCATAATTTGGTCTTTGTTAAAAAAAATATATATATAGGAAAATGATTATTTAGACCAAACACAGTAAAAAAAAAACAAGAGAATTACTGCTTTTAAAACTTACTGATGCATTTTTGTGCCAAATCTATAATTTGGAAGTTTGCTCTCATTGATTGAAATGACATAAATGTCATCATGTTGCAGCCTTTGAATCTTTTTTTTTATATTTATTTTATATATTTTTTTAATATTACGTTTAGAGAACGTGTATCGACTTCACAATACACATTACACAAATCATTCAAATCAAGAATGCGATTCAAAAGCAAAACATCAAGGACTTGTATTCCGCATCTTTGCCAACAGCTATGCCTCTAAAGGCACAACCTTTAAATTTAACCATACTTACAAATGTCACCAAAATAGATGAAAACAACCTTGGAATAAAATTATAGATTTGGTACACAACCCTTGAAATCAAAATAGATGATGAGATTTGTCTATAGTTACTCGAGCATATTGTTTTCAATTTTTCTACCAAAACCAGGTGACAACCTGCTTCATTTTTACAAAATTAGGGTAGTTGCCCAAAGCTTAACATGAATAAAAAAAAAAAAACCCCTCTTAATGCTAATATTGGTTAGAGCGTATGTGAGAAGTTCTAATTATTTCTTTATTTAGCTTATGTTTGTTTGAATGTAACATATTTTTTATAAAATATTTTTTAGTTGTGGTAAAATATTTATGAAGAAAAAAATAAATTAAAATTTAACAAAAATAACTTATTAATTAATTTTGGACAAGTTATTTTACACCCTCCGTCCGAACTCGAACTCAATATCAACCTAGACCTTTATCAAACTTTATAACCCTAAGAATTTTTGTATTTTATTTTTCATATCTATATAAAACTTTTCTCCATTTAAAGAAAAAAAAAAAACCTAAACCTTTATCAAATATCAAAAAACAAAAATAATTCAAAAAAAAATATTATAAAAGGCATGTATAATTTTGGGTTTGATCTCAAATTTTATTGGTCCGTGAACCTTGCAGTTTCTTGCTTTATTTTGCAGGATAAGGATTGCATTCCAATAAGATTCGAAGAATAATATCATAAAAGAATACAAGAACAAGACCACGCCATTATTGTTATTATATACTAGAAAACAAAATAATTGATTAGCTTTGCCTCCTATAATGAGATCTCGTACCATCATTTTATATTATCTAGTGGGTGTTGTTGGCAGCTACAAAGATGCTTCAATTTTAAACTAATTTTTAAATTTGCAATAAAAGTTGTTATGAATCATTTAATAAATATTTCAATGAATCACTTAAATACTAAGAAAATTTTTGTGTAGTAACTCTAGATAATGTTTAATTCTTTCAATAAAAACTTTCAAATTGTGAAAATTGGAGAGCATCGACACTTAATTGATCAAAAAAATTATTGAGTATTCCAAGGGTACCATTAGTTTTGAGATACATGATAGTTAAGTCCAGTTCAAACAATTAAAACTTTAACTCAACTTAGTTCAAACAACAAAATTATGATCGTGATTGGAAAACTTTAATTTATAATTTTGCATCTCAAAATGTAAGACGGTCACATTTACTTTGATACGAAATTAAATTTTGATTTTTGTGACTAAGGAGTGTTTAATATTTTTAAAATTTTTTAATGTAAATTAGTTTGTGCTTTTTATAAAACACCAAGACCGATTTTTGCTTTGTATGTTTTCAACCTTAATATATTTTATGTGCTTATCGTTTGATTTTAATATAAATTTTACACTCATATATTTTTTTTAATTTCATCGTATAAAACTTTATGTACAAAAGGGCCTCGCATTAGAAAATTTGGCATAGGTCTCACAAAATTTTGAAGGAGTTGTTGGCACAGAGCTACAAAGATGTTTCAACTTTAAACTAATTTTTAAATTTGCAATAAAAGTTGTTATGAATCATTTAATAAATATTTCAACGTAACAGTAAAAAAGAAAAAATCAGTGAAGTAACTCTCTATAACTTTATTCTTTAAACATTCAAATTGTGAAAATTGGACAGCATCTACACTAATTAATTGATCCAAAATATATATATATATATTGATTATTCCAAGGGTACTATAGTGTCGCATTCCATAAATATTCATTATTTTTCTTGTGAATACTCGTTGGATGTGGGGCCATATTATTTGTATAGTCAGGTACCAATAATTTCTCCTATTGACCATAGTCCAAAACCAGCGTGTACTACTGATTTACTATAAATATGAAGTGTTTACAGAGCTTCTATGCATTGACAAGTTTAGAGTACGTATCTCTCTATAGTGTTAAGACATGGAATCATCTTTTGCTTTCTTCATTCTCTTCTCACTTGTTCTGGTACGTAAGCGTAACCATTTCTCTTATGCAGAAGTAGAACATGCATACCTCATATATACAGATATATATATACACATACATACACACACATATATGTTTATATCTTTTCTTGTTTATCACTAAATTAATCAATTTTTTTTTTTTTAAGAAATCCTCTAAGCCAACTTGAATTCAGGCTAATCAACTAGTCTTGAGTCACACATTAATGAACATGGAGAACTTGAACAACTTTAGAATATGGTTTAATCTGATCAATTATATATATATGTGTGTGTGTGTGTGTGTATAAATGTCTAATTCATTTTTTTTTTTCCTCCTTGATCAGTTTGCCGCGGCTATAGATGCAAGAAAAGACCTTGGTGAATACTGGCAGAGCGTTATGCAAGACCAGGCAATGCCGGAAACAATTCAAGGCCTCGTCTCTAAGGATTCAGCTTTGCCCCTCTCCAACAAGCAGAGAACTGTCGACTGTCATGAAAAAGAAGAGTCATTTGTTAAGGACTTTGAACCACAACCAAGTGTCAGAGTCTACCGCGATGACACTAAACTTACAGCTTTTGTTAAAGACTTTGAACCAAAACCAAGTGCCACAGTCTACCGCGATGATGCTACTAAGCTCACAGAAGATAAATCTTTCGTGAAAGACTTCGAGCCAAGGCCTAATGTCTCAGTTTACCATGTTAGTTCGAAAGAGGAGAAGTCATTTGTTAAAAATTTCGAGCCAAGGCCAAATGTCTCAGTTTACCAAGATGATGCTGGTTTGAAAGAGGAGAAGTCATTTGTCAAAGATTTTGAACCACGGCCAAATGTTTCTGTTTATCAGGAGTAAGGGAGGGAGAGGGACTAAGGCTAATGTGTTTATTGCTCCCTACTACTTCATTTAATTCATGTAAGAAGTAGACGATCTATGTTTGTAGAATAATGATTTGGAGTCTGGAAGTCAGACAACTCTGGCTGGTTTACGTGATCAAGTGAGGGCTAATGTCATTATAATGTCATCAATATTTCTGACGACAACCTCTATTCATGTAAAATTAGTCAAATTTGTCTGACTGTCTAACCTCCTATCATTACTCATGTTTCTGAGTATATGTTGTTGTGAAGTGTGTGACAATGTTTATTTGGCTTGAATAGAACGAGTCTATGCTGTTTTTCTATTTTTGATAAATAAGGAGTCTGTAATGTTGATTGAATATATACTTGTTTGATTACATTCTCATAAAACTTCAGTCTCTACCTCGAATGACCAAGGACATGAATACCATTATTAGTGCATCAGTCGTCAATTGCGATTATTTGTTTTGATTTTGACTGGGCTTGTCCCTTGTTACGCCTTTGATCGCTTTCTTTTATGACCCAGTACACTGGGCTGTTTGGCCGAAAGCCTTCCATGTAATTGCTTTTATTCATATCAGTTGCCTAAATTTTCCAAATATACTTTGTGTGAATTTTGTTTGTTAACCTTCTATGGTTGAAAGGATGAGACTTAATTAATTTGTTTGAGAGGTTTTTCTTTTTCTAAAGAAGGAACGGTAAATTGATTTAGTTTAACTTAAACATTTTTTTTTTTGTTAAAAAAAGAAAAGAAAAAAGAGAGAGTAAGTTTCTTAAAATATAAAAAGAAAAATATTATTAACTAATTGATATAGGATTAAATCCTGAGATTAAAATTAAAAGTGAGTATACTTACTCTCTAGTCCTTGCTCATAGGGAGCAGTTGAACACGGTAACACCATTATATTAAGTAAGCGGATTTTTGTATTTTTTTAAATAAAAAATTTCAATCATGTTCTTAAAATGCTGGATCAAACACGCCCAGTAAAATCTTCAAGTGTCAACTATAAATAGCTAACCCTTTTATTATTATTATTATTATTATTTTTTGCAGTAACCATCTTGTAAGACGTTAGCAAAGGAGGATAATTCATAAACCTCACAAATAGAATTAAGGGCAAGAATAAGTGTGATATGATCATAGTCATCCAAATAATAGGATGGACTCATTTTTTGACAAATGTATGGTCATAATTGAGTATGTGAATTATTCTATAAAAAGTTCAAATATTTAGAACACGGGAACATTGAAGTGTTTAACTAAACTAGTGTTATACTGTTAGGTATTTTTCCTACTTAGCAATTTGGGGAATCATGCTTAAGGTGTGAAGGTAAATTTTTTATTTTTCTTTTTAAAAGTTTAAGTAAACACGTACACACTTATTATATTTGACTCGAATACTGAATCTATTTTTTAAGAATGAGAGTTTGTCTGGTTTAGACTAGTGCCCATTGGTATATGGACAATTATTATTTGAATTGCCTTAAACACGTGAAAGATAAGTATGGTACAATATGCTCTGCGACTCGATGGTTCTAGGGTTTGAAAGATGTTACTGCCCCAATCCGAATTGCTCGGCTGTGGTTGTGAACGAGTGTGGAGGAATTATTGAGAGATCAGAGTGTCCCAATTGCAAGAGGCTATTTTGTTTCCACTGCAAGATTCCATGGCACTTTGGCTATCGATGCGACAAGAGCCTAGAGCTGAGAGATAGTAATGATGTTCAATTTGGCGTGCTTCTGGAGGGTAGCAATGGGAAAAGATGTCCCCATTGCGGCCATTGTGTTGCACGTATTTATGGTTGCGATACTCTTTGTTGCAGGTACTTTCTCTCTACATGTATAATGTGTATTGTTTCAGCTTTGTACTTGAAATTTAAGAGAATTTAGTTCAAAATTTATATTAAATTTTGTCCGATTTCAAAATCCAATTTAGTGTCATCAAACATAATATTAGAGTAATTTAGGGTTTCATCTTTGAACCCGGTTAATTTGTTCACTCAAAAAACACACACACACATATATGTGGAACAAGCGTAAAAACCACCCCTAAAGTATACTCCGTATAACACTTTTATCCCTTATTTGAAAAAGTGTGCAAAGAACACCCATAATTTTTTCACATTGTGCAAAAATACCCCCTCTGACATAAATTAGTGTTGTAATACCTGTTTTGCCCTTTTACTTTTAAAAAAATGCCCAAGAGAGTATATATACTACTAATATCATAGTACAAGAATGTTATGTGCACATTACCTTATATATATATATATGTTGAATTTTTTTTCTTTATATATAACTCTAAACATTTTTTTTCAAAAACTTTCAGAATTTGTATAATAAGGATTTGAATTTTTTGAAATTTCAGTTTACTCTTTTTTATTAAATTTTTTTTTTTGTACCAACACTGTTAAAAAATAAAATAAAATAAAATCTCAATATCAGTGTGCACTGGTTTTCGGAGTTTGAAAATTTTTTTGTTTTCTTTAGTTTGCATTTTGTTTTTATTTTTTATTTTTATCTTTACTTATTTTTATACTTTTACTTTTATTTTATATTTGTATCTTTACTTGTCTATTGTCGGCGTCCTCTAATAGTGTCATTTTCGGTCATTTTATAAAATTATTTATTTTTATATATTTTATAAAATGATTTAGTAATAGGGATGTCAATTTGACCCACCCCTGCAGTTACCCGCCCCACCCCGCACGTTTTTGGCAGTTTTGGGGGACCATTTAGCTAACTTGGGCGGGGATGGTTTGATATATCAAAAACCCGCGCAGGTTTGGTGCGGGGGCGGAGGGAGGTCGCCCCGCCCCGACTCGCCCTGTTTAGATATAAAAATTACTTAACTACTATAATACCCCTAATTTCAAAAGGATAGTCCTGGTATTTAATTTATGTTTTAATTGACTTTTTAATTATTTGACTTACTTGACTTATTTGTATTATTTGAATTAATTATTTGGTTTACTTGTTTTCTTTGATTTAATTAATTATTTGAATTATTTACATTAATTATGATTATTTGAGTTAATTGTTTTAATTATTTATTTGGCTTTAATTTTCTTTAAATTGTATTATTTGATTTAATTACCTGATAGAATTGTTATTAATTAATTGTTTTCATTTTTGAATTTACTTGCTTATCGTAAGTTAGGTTTATAAGTTAGGTTTAAATTTACATGGGTAGCCGACGTTGATTATAACCTAGGTTTATCTATGGGCCGAGTTATATCTTTATGGACTTAGGGTTTCTGTAGTGTCTATATATATGTTGTTATACGTTGGTTTAGGGTTACAAATAAAACCCTATTCACCATATTCACTTATACAGTGAGATAGGGGGAATACAGAGAGAAAGATTTAAGGGAAACACAGAGTGAACTTGGGTGATTAGCAAAGCAACTCAAGGAGGAAGGAGCGTGGTAGTGGGAAACTACAGTGTAGGACACAAACATATCACACAGAGACGGTAAATTAGAATTTCAAATCTGAAATTCAAAGGCAAGTCTCTGTTCTTCTCTATCCCTTTAATTTGTGTTCTGTGCATGCTTAGGAAGACTCCAGGGATTAAACTAAGTTTTAATTACATATTTTAAACATGTTTAATCAGAATATGGAAGCATTGAATAAATCCAGTTTCAGTTGTTTTAACAGTTCAGTGTTGAACCTTGTTATCGTTGCTTTAAAAGTTGATGTTTAATTAAATTCTAAGTTGTATAATTCTACCTTGTGATCAATCTGGGATGAGGATGAAACCTTAATACATGTAATATAACTGTATTCAATGTCTGGAAACCACCGGGGTCGGAGAAGACAAGCAATACAGGGGAAACGGCTCTTAAGGGTGTGAGAGACGGCTCTCAAAAGGAGGGAACCGCCTCCCACAAAGCTAGAGCCGGCTCTCTGGGGTTGAGAGCCGGCTCTCAACAGCCTAGAGCCGGCTCCCAAGGGTGGGGAGCCGGCTCCCCTTTAATGGAGAAGGCTCTCCAAGTTTCAGAGCCTTCTCTCTCTTTAGTTTTTGCGCATACTGAGTTGGAATGGACTGTTTGGCTGAGACTGAGTTTCTGAAACTGTTTTAAGGCTACTGAATGATGTAATACACTACTTAAAGACTTATATATGAATTGGGAAGCAAGCTTATAACCAGGAATTTTGGATGGAATTAGTCTAGGTTTCAAAGTAAACCTGTATGGAGTAAGGTTAAACATAAATTGGTAATTGCTCATTGTTTTAGTAAGTTGGTTTCTCTGCATGTCTTGGAATTATAAATCATGTTTTGTAGTTGGGTTATAAGCATACTGTTGTTTAATAATATGCATGCTTAGTGGGGATTAACTGATGATTAAATCTGTTATCAATTGTATCTATTATGACACTGTTCGGAGGAGTTAAGTGTACAGTTTTACTTTGCCATACTAATGGACTGTAATTAGGATTCAAATTCTTATATTGGATGCATAAATTGGTTATATATATGTTGAACTGTATATGTGCTTGCTTTGGGATTGGTTGATGACTATTTAATACTATATTATCAACCGTATTAACTGGATGATGTTATGTACCGGTATGGGACGGTGACATACTAGATATGAACTAAATTAAATACTAAGTCCTATCCAACATGGATTAAGGTATGGATTAAGTCCATCACCTACTTGTGTCATATCAATTGAGAATTGAATGACCTACTTTGGTTTCAGGATGGCTTGGTTATACATATATCAGACCACTACACAGATGGATGGTATTTTGTATTAGGAGGAGTACGGACTTTATATATATATTGTATGGTGCCGTGGTATGAGCTTGAGTCTCATGACCATGGTTAGGGTGCGTATATCGCCTAGGATGGATAGCTGGACAGAGGTGTTGTTCCCTGGTAGGTCTAGATACACATGACCACAGTATGTGCGATTTGCATGGTATTTCTATTCAGGCTGAGACAATCCTTTTTGGACTAGTGAGCGTCCTATAGTGTGTACTATATACATATATGGACTATTCTAGATATTGTTGAGTCTTCCTAGAATGTATCTGCGTATCGGATTACTGTTTGGATTGTAGTAGATCAGGACTTGCATGTGGGCCTGACCCACTTCTTTATTTTTCAAGTGCTCGTCAGTTCCAGGGGTAGAGTTTGGACGTGCAAAGCAGATACAGTTATTCATTCCTCCGATTATGTAGGAATCTTCTCTATGTTAGTTTTGGATTTTATATTTATGGTTTTTCAGTATC